TCTGTAGAGTAACAAATACCTCAGGAAATTTTTGCTTCAGTTGTATATGTCTGGGTACTCACATTACTTGATTCTAAAGCACAATGTAGTACTATCAGTACTCATCAAAAACATTAGAAAAAATTACTGTAGAGAAAGTTCAGCACACACTCATCAATTGACATGCACAAAATAGCTTACCGCAGCATAATTAGAGCAAAAGGTGGAAATAGTCCAAATGTCCAGAGCTAGAACAGATACGTAAATATAGTATAGTCATGTGCCACATAACATTTTAGTTACTGTCCAACCACATATATGACATGGTTCCATAAGATTATAATGGAGCTAAAAAAATTATAATTATAATGGAGTTGAAAAATTCCTACTGCCTAGTGATGTATGTAGCTGTGATAATGTCATAAGGTAATATATTACTCATGTGTTTGGGGTGATGCTGGTATAAACAAATCTATTATAAAATATGTTGGGGAGTGCCTACCTAACGCGTAGGGTGACCCTCTCAAAGGTAGCTCAAAACTTTAGAAAGCCAAGCATTTGATACATTAGGTCTGACCTTAAGTGAAAGGGTTGTGCACTTTAGAATTCTTGCATTTTTAAATGATTCCCACCTACCCCCACAGCAAAATAACAGTTAGCTAACAGTCACTGAGTGCTTGCTGAGTACCAAGGATAATCCCCACTTGCAATTTAATTTTCCTAACTTTGGTGGGGATGGTATTACCCTAATCTCCATTTAACAGATGAGGAACATGTTGCTCAGAGAGACAACATAGAGGGCCCACGCTCATGTAACTAGTGGCCAGTGTAGGCAATAGGAAAATTAACTGCTGTCCCTTTCATAATACATTTTCACACAAGGACAAAACCGCCTAACGAGACTTTCATGACTGTATATTAAACAAGGTCCGGATTGAGACTACGGCGCTTTACAGGCATCCGGGGTGTGAAGGCCGCAGTCTAGCCTGCGCTGAAGCGGATGAGGCGGGTTCAGTGCCTACAGAACCCTTCCGCCCCAACGCCGTAAAGAAAAGACTGCGCGGGCTGCAGCGTTGCAGTCCTCCAAGTCCACCAACTACCGTCCACCCCCGTGACGTCACGTGCTTTCCGAATTCCTGATTGGAAGAGGTGCATTCGGCCAACTCTCGCGATGACTCCCCCTCTCAGTCACCCGCCTCCCTCCGGTTGCCCAGACCCGGTGGTCCACAGCAGACCAGGCTGCGGGGGACGCCGTAGAACTAGACCTGCTTCCGGGACTCGTCCAGAGCGCCGCGACTCTTCTCAGACGGCCACGGGCTCGAGGTTTGGCTCCCAGGCCTCTTGCCTGCCAGACCCGCGGTAGCGCACGGCTCTCCACCGCTCGGCTCGGCCAGCTTGCTAGGGCCGCCTGGCGAGTCACACCAACTCCCCTCTTGTAGTATCTCCAGCGTTTAGTGGTTGTGGAACTGATTTCCAGTCGCTTAGGTCTCCATGGAGACATCACTTTAACCGCGTTTTTCCTCTGTCATTCCTCGGACTCCACGTGGTTCGGAAATCGCCCAGAGAATGTTTGTGGGAGTCAGCCAGAAAGGTGTAGATGGGGTGAAGCTAGGAAGCGAATCTCACATATTCACCTAGATCTGATCATATCACTTTAAAATTTCTCCCTTGTCAGTGTCTTTATGGCTGCATCCATTTTATTACCATTTTTGGTTTAGTGGTTGCTCACATGCCAGTACTGTATTGATTTTTTTGCTTCCCAAATGGACCACAAGTTCTTTAGTGTCAGGACTAGCCTGTCACTTAGATGTAGAATTGACTTTAGATACCAGGTAGCCCACCTTCCTGCCGTTAAAGGCATATATCTCTTCTAGAACATATCTGACAAATGTTTGTTAATTCATTTATTAATCAAGTATTTATTAAGCACCTACTGTGCGCCAGGTACTATTTTAGGAATTGAGAATTAAAACAGTGAACAAAACAGATTAAAGTTGCTGCCTTCATGGAGTTTACTGCTAGGGAAGACAGACATACGGGTGTACAAGTGATATACAAGAGTACAAGTGAATGTAATTTCAGGTAGTAAGTGTATGAAAAAAATAAAGTAACGGAAATGGTGTGTGTGTGTGTTGGAGTGGTGACATTTTAGAGTGGTCACAAGGCTTCTGTGATATTGGAGCAGAAATCTGAATGATGAGGAGGAGTCAGCTTTGCAAAGATTTAGTGGAACGAACGTTAACAGGTGTAGGTATTGTGAATTGCAAAGCCTCTGAGATGGTGAAGAGAAGACCGATTTGAGATGAGCAGAGGAAGGCAGGGTCAAATTATTTAGGCCCTTAAAGGCCAAAGTCTCAAGTTTGGATTTTATACTAAGTGTAATTGGAAGCCCTTGGAAAGTTTTAAGCAATAGAGTAATTAGATTAGATTAGTTTTTAAAAGATTGCTTTGATGACCCTGAAGCGAGTGGACTCTGGAGGCAGAGATGGAAGTGAGGAGAACAGTTAGGAGGCTATTTCAGGGGTCCAGGAGAAAAATGTTCAGTCAGCTTCTGTTTGGAAATTCCCAGTGTTGGGAAATTTTTTCTTTAAAAGGGAGCGCATTCCATAGTGAAACCATAGAGTTCTTCCTTTTTATTGAACTGGAGTTTCTCTCTGAAGCTTGCACTGACTTTTCCTATCCTATTGTGAGACAAAAGAAATCTACTCCCTTTTCCTCCAAAACAGTCCAGCATGTGTCCTGTCCACTTTTCTCTAAGCCAAATGCCTTTGGTTAATGAGCTGTTCTGTAAAAGAGGTGCTCTCTGGGCCCTTCAGAAATTGGTTGTTCCTTTGAACCTCCATTGTTTGTTATGGTTCCTTAAGTATGGCCACCAGCACTGCATATAATGCTCCACATGTCACCTGACCTGTGAGGATGACCAAGGAATCATGCACTCCCTTGATCTGGCTGACTTCCAGTGTGGTTTTTAGCAGTCATGTTGTGCTGTTGGCTCACATATTCAGCTGTTTCAAACCACATTTCACCTCCCTCTGCCTCCTCATCCTGTATTTCTGTATTTTTTTCTAATTAAAAAAAATTTTTACATTAAATTTTATATTTAAAAATTTTTTGGCAGCTAGCCAGTACAGGGAACCAAACCCTTGACCTTGGTTTTACAAGGCCATGCTCTAACCAACTGAGCTAACCAGATAACCCCCTTTTCTAATTTAAATGCAGGTTTTTACAATTACTTATACTTCATCTTGGCAGATTTCATATTGCTCATTATTTCAGCTTGTTGAGCTGTTTTTAATCCTGATTCCATCATGCCACATGTCCTGCCAGCTTTGTCTTTTATAAATGCACTATGTCTTCTAATGTTTTCATTTTAAACACTGCTAAAAGTGAAGAGTCCTGTGGTATTTCTCTAGCAACTTCTTTCCAGATGGCTTGAGACTGTTAGTGTGCAGTCTTTGAGTAGGGTTGTTTAGCCTATTATGAACCCATTGCACTGTTAACTAAAAGCAAACTTACAAGGGTAGTGTACAGAAGTTTCCTTTATCAAAACTTTGCAGGAATCAGCATACAGTGGCATCTCCTGATCTGTTAGTCTGACAAGTCACTGAAGTTAAGTTTGACGCAATTTATTTTTGGGAAAACTGTGTTGGTTTCTTTTCTTTTTATTAAAGTGAGAGTTTGCTATATTTTAAAGTACAAACACTGAGTCATAGTAGGTAAAAGTAACTTTAGACAATAATAAACTTATGTGTGTGTGTTGACTAGAGTATTTTTATTTTATTTATTTTATTTTTTTATTGAATCATAATTGTTTATACATATTTTGGGGATTCAATGTTGACATATTTTGATCAAATCAATATTACTAGTATATTGTTACAAATTGTACTTATTCTTTATGCCCCTTGTCCAATCTCTCCCAATCCCCCTCTCCCTCCCCCCTCCCCCTTGCCCTCCCACCACTGATAACCCTAGATTTCTTCTCTCCCTCTGAAAGAGTAATG